CGGGCAGCTCACAGCCTTAACCCAGCCTTGCGGGGAGCGGGCCAGCGGGGCCCTGGCTGCAGTCCTGGGGTTCGGGGGCCTCCTGGCCCCCCGCCCACTGAGGAAGCCTGTTGGCCGAGCCCCCAGTTCACCCTGAGGACCTGGGCTCGGCCTGTGGAGGGGCCTCTGTCGCAAGCACTCAGCTCCGTGACCCCCAGGCTGTACAAGGGGACACCAGCACAACCTACCTGCTCACCCCCACTGCCCCCTGCCTGGCCCCTCCCTTGCTGCCCGCCCCCTCAGAGCCCCTGCCCCTACCGTTCAGCCAGCCTTGGCGCCCGTCGCTGAGAACACAGAGCTGAGGACAGGACGGCCCAGCCGCAGCGAGGGGCATGGAGGCCTCCCGGTCTGGGCTGGGTGGCCACGTGGGGACGACGGGATATTTTTAGCCTCTGTCTACATAGAAGGGAGGGTGGGGAGGGATGGGCTGGAGGAAGAGGGGAGGTGATAGCTTTTCACAGACGTCTGCTGTGAAAGCCCAAACTACCATGTCACATCAGAGGGCCTGAGGCCTCCAGGTGACTCCAGGGCAGAACAGACAGTGGGGAGCTTCCAGGGCACCCACGAACTTTCACCCCTCCAGGGGCCCTTGGGCTAACTTGATGGGTGGGAATGCAACCCCCTCCCCAGTTTGGTCCTCTGCAGGATAGGACAGTGGGAGCCTATGCTGGGGACCAGGGGCCACATGGAGAGTCTCAGCTCGTGGCTGGACCGGGGGAGGGGACGCTTCACTTGACAGGGCCCAGGAGCCCTCTGATTCTGCTGTAGAGTGGTGAAGTCTCTCCACAAACAAGCCAGGCCTTTCAAAGGTTGGGGTCTGCAATGGCAGTGGGGAGGTTTTGGTGGCAAAGAGGGTGACAGAGTACTGAGGAAGCCCCACCCAGCAGATGCAGGGCACCAGAGGCCAGGCTCCCTTCCTGCCATGCCATGGCCTTGGCCTTGGGCTGCCTGGTCTCTTCCTTCATCCTGAGCACCCAAGAGAGCGAAGACATCTAGACACACAGGGCTCACAGGGAGCCCCTCGCATCTGGGCCTGAATGAGGCTCAGGAGGTTGAACCCAGGGGCTGGGGTCTCTGGGAGTCTCTCATGCCAGTGGTCAGAACCAGTCTTCCCAGCCAAGGGGCTTCCACGCACCAGATAGAAGCCCTTGGTCCTGAGCCTGGGCTGGTCAGGCTGGAGGCTCACTGGTCAGCTCTTCCTACTAAAATGACCATCTCTGGTGTGTTGGCAGTGCCGGAGTCAGGGAGTGTCTTACAGAGCAGAGGGGCCAGGTGGCCCCGGTGACAGCCTCCCATCAGAGCGAGGCGATCTCTCAAGGTAGTGGGGTGTCTGGGCACGAGAGGCACCTGCTCGGCCAGCCCAGCTGCTGTGGCCTGGTTTGAAGCTAAAGGCCACAGCCCCTGCTCCCAGGATGAGTGTATGGAGGCAGGGGACAGCGGTCACACAGAGCCTGGCATCAAGTCTGGACAGAACGTTCCCGGCTCCCGCGTGGGGTCCCTCCTTCCACGCGCCCCTCCTCAGCTAGCCTACCCCCGCCCCGCCCCTTCTCTGCTTCTGTTCCCCATTCTGTTCCTCCAGCCCTGCTCTGCACGCTCACGTGGGGGTGAGAGAGCCCCGTGATGTCCCCAAGTGTCATATGTCAGGCCATCGCGGGGAGGGAGCTGGAGGGGGAGTGGAGAGGCTGGCTTTGCTCAGGGTGTCTGTCCCTGCTCAGGCTGGAGGGAAGGAGGACAGGAATCCTGATGACAGGCTGCTGTCACAGGGAGCTGGCTCTGCCTGGGGACAGTGCTGTGTGCCAAATGTGCTGGCCTCACAGTGGGGATTGGAGACCTGGCCAGTCAGGGAGACTCAATGACGGGGCTCAAAGGGGATCCCCATCAACGGAGGGTCCGCCTTTGAAAGTGCACTGCTCATCCCCCACCCTTTTATTTGTACCAGGGATCGAACTCAGGGGCGCTTAACCATGGAGACACATCCCCAGCCCTTTTTTATTTTATTTGGAGACAGGATCTCGCTGAGTTGCTCAGCACCTCACTTTTGCTGAGGCTGGCTTTGAACTCATGATCCTCCTGCCTCGGCCTCCTGAGCCACTGGGATTACAGGCGCGCACTCTCATTTCCTTTTATGATGATAAAAACAAAGCATTCATTTTGGAAATCAGAAAAACATAAAGCAGAAAAGAGACTATGGCCTTCACACGCTGGTGGCCTCCCTTCAGGCCTCGCTGGTCTCACAGTGGGTGTGTGTGTCTGTGTGGTCCTCGTCACTGGATGACACATGGCCAGCACTTCGGATGAGATCAGGTTTGAAAACATGGTTTTGAATTCCATCTCAGCAGGGCGATGCCTCGCTGCAGGAAGTGGGAAGTGAAGCCCCGTGTCCTCTTCTCCCTGTGGGTGTCCGGTTTTCCCCCGCTACTGTTAGGAGGAGAGGGTGTGGCTGTGGTGACCTCCCAGAACAGATTCTGAGCGTGAACTCACAAGTTCTAGTGTGTGACCTTCGTCAGCACCTGTGCACAGATCAGAGTGACCAGCCTGGCTGAGGCAGTGCCCTCTCTCCTCAAGTGCAGCTCTTTCCGTGGCTGCCCCGGCCAGGCTGCAGACTGTATGGTTGGCCCGGGACAGGACCCTGCAGGCCGCACTGGCCAGCCCCCCTGGGTTTTGTGCCAGCCAGCTCATGGGGTCTCTTCTTCCAAGTGAGACTTATTTTGTGCTTAGGACGCCATGAAGTTTTGCTTTCTTCTTCTTCCAAGATACTTTTCTAAACAATCTCGGCACTGTTACCAACACTTCTTCCCCTGGGGATGTGCCGATGCCCCTTTATCTCCAGCCAGGTTAAGTCAGCCCAGTCTGTTCTGATCTGCTTACCCGAGTGACCATGCTCCTGGCTCAGGGCTACCTAGTGCAGTGGACTACTGCTCTGTGATCATGAGACCTTTAGATCTGAACACCAGCATCTCCTCATCACTCCTGTTGTATCAGTCAGCTGTTGCTGCATGACAAATTGCCCCACACCTAGTGTTTCAGGACAACAAACAAATCTGGTTTTATTCCAGGGTGGTTCTCTCAGAATGTCTAATTGAGGCTGCACTTAGGAGCTGGCCATACTGTAGTGATCTGAAGGCAGCTCTGGGGACCCTGCTGGGCTGTCCTGCACTCTTCCCTGTTCCGCAGTGGGCTTCCCTAGAGTCAGAGAGAACACAGGAGACAGAGCCACGGTGTCTTCTGTAACCAGGTGGAAGGGACACCACAGCTTCAGTGGTGTTCTGGGGGGCACCTGGGGCTGTGACGACCAGGTGGCGAGGGGACTTCTTGAAGGCTGGCCTCAGAGTTCATTTGCTCATTTTTTGTTTCAAACAAAACAAAAACAGAAGAAGGAGGAAAAGAAGAAAAAGGAAAAGGAAAGCTTGATTGCACCAGCCCACACAGTGGTGTGGGGCGCGGACGTCTCACCAAGCTCAACCCACCAGGAGGGAAGACGCGCTGCCCCTGCGCTGCCCTTGGTGCCACTGCTTCCTGCCTCTCCCCGTGGCGCACGCTGGCAGGCTGGCAGAGGCCCCTCCTGACCTTGTTCCTGTCTGGCCTCCTCCTGAGTCTGCAGCCTCCAGGATTCCGAGAAGGGCCTCCGGGGTCTCCAGTGAGCTTCTGCCGACTGGAGACATTTATAGGCACCAAACAGAACTCCCCGCAGGTGAGCTGTGAGTGGCCAGGGGTTCCCAGGCCAATGGTATCAGAAACCCTGAGATGTCTTTAAAAGCCAGCTCCCCAGGCCCACACCAGGCCAAGGCCACTAGGATCTCTGGGGCAGCTCCCCCCAGAAGCAGGGAGTTTGCAGAAGGCCACTTGGGGGTCACCTCCTTCTGGGCGACAAGCCTGGCCCTGAGCTACCACTGCCTCCCTCGTCCAACAGCCCGCCTGACCTGAGGACCCCTGGGCTTGTCAGGTGCCCCCTAATAGCCTCAATCTGCCCCTTAGCTGAGAAACTGAGGTCCAGAGGCTACCAGGGGCTTTTCTGAGGCCATCGTACGCAGGTACGATGCCCTGAGCCAGATGCACCAACCTCCTGCCCAGACGTGGCCTGAGGCCAGGCTCAGTCTTCTGCCCACCACCCAGCCCCCAGGCCCTCCTTTGTCAGGCCCTTGGACCAACAGCACCTGACACGTGGTCATGAAGGAACTGCAGGAGGTAGGAGCGCAGGACCTTTTCAGGCCCAGTCCCCGCTCCTATCCTGGCCCTCTGTCAGCCTCGTCCACGGCTGTGGGGTGCGTGGGGTCCAGCACCAGGGCCTCACTGGCCAAGAAAGAGCACTTGGTGCTTGGCTCAAGGTGCCCACAGCCCCTGCCTGTGAGAGCCCTCTATAGCACGGACCACAGACTGACGAGCGTGAGGCCATGGCCCTGGACAGAGGCCCTCCCCTGGCCTCAGTCTACCCCTCCAGAATGCCATCCCTCTGGTGCAGTGGACACTCAGGTCCCAGTGGGACTAAGTGAGGCTTGGGCCTCAGTGCCCGCAGGACAAGGAGGCGACAAGCCCAGGGCAAAGGTTGGCCAGGAGAGGGAGCTGTATTTAGCAGGCAGAGGTCCAGGGTCAGCGGCACAGTGAGGGTCCAAGCAGTGGGGGACACCAGGAAAGGTGCAGCGGGCCCCGGGCAGCCAGGCCTGAGGCTGGGGAGGGGGCTTCCGTCCCTCCCCCAGGGACCCTGCCTCTCTGGGGCTCTCCACTCCGGCTCCACCCTCCAAGCCCCAGGGTCCAAGGTGTCCTGCCCCCAGTGGCGAGGTGGAGGCACTGCAGGAGACCCCTGAAGGTGGCCAGTCCCCACTGTGCCCCTTTGTCCCCAGGGGCCTGTCTGAGGAGGTGGTGGTAGGTGTAAGATTCTCGAAACCTTCCCCCTCCACCACCTGATGGGCTATCACACAAAGCCCCCACCCCAGAGCCCCCTGGGCTCCAGCCCAGCCCTCCTTGGACACACAGCCCCCCAGCCTAGGTGGTGTCCCATCCTTCTGGCTGTCACTGGGAGTGGGGCAAGCTGCACCCCACAGGCAGCCCTCAGGGCTCCCTCCCCAGCACCTGGTTCAGGAGGTTGTCTGCAGCAACTCGAGACCCTCCCCTGTCCTTCCACCTTGTGGAGAAGAGATGCCCTGTGGCACTCAAAGGCCCCTGGAAGTGGCCACACCCGCTGCTGTGTGCTCCCTTTGAGAGGGGCACAGGCCTGCTCTTCTCCCTGTGGCCCAGGACCAACCCTGCTGCTGCCCCAGGCCCTGAGGGAGGGTCTGGGAGGGTCTGGCCAGCCAGAAGACAGGGCCACACAGGGAGCCTTCCCTCTGGGGCCAGGTGCTCTGCAGTGCCCTGGTGAGTCCCTGTGGACCACCTCCTGAGGACTTGGAGGATGGTCTGCTCCTAGGGAGGCCCCTTCCCATCCTGTCCCGCCCCCTCCAGCTGCCAGCCCTGCCCCCATTCCGCAGATGGGAGGTCGCCCCAGAGAAGAGGCAAGACCTGAGCTAAGACCAGAGCAGCAGGCAAAGGACGGACGAGGGCTCCCAGGTGGCTCGGAGCACCAGAGGAGGGGAGCAGGGAACAGGAGCTCGGGGACAACTAGGCCGAGGGCCCTCGGACAGCAAGCAGCCTGCCTGCAGGGCCCACAGGGGCCGGGGCTCCTGGAGAGGATCTGATGTCCAGTCCTTGCTCAGAGGAGCACAGGCCTCAGCCGAAGGGACCTCTGGCCACAGTGGGATGGAGGCTGGTGCTGCACACCTGTGGCCTGGCCTGGGCCTGCCTCGCCTCCAGGTGGCCTGGAAAGGACAGGAGGAGAGGAAACGGCACTTCCCTCCCAGCCACTCTCTGTCACTCAAAGTTAAACATCTCAGCCTCCTTCTCCTTCCAGAAGGCAAAGCTCCGGTCAATGTAGCCACAGATGTCCTCGCTGTTGAAGCTGCCCCGCTGGGAGCCAAACCCCAGCCGCTGGGCAGGGGACTCTGGGCCACTGCTTGGGATGGTGGCAGAAGGCAGTGGCCCCAGGGGGGTCAGGCCTGACTTTCGACCAGGCTCCGTGTCCCGAGTGGCACCCTGGCTGGAGCCAAAGAAGCGAGCTTTGATGTCCTCAAAGCCATCAGTCCAGGTGCGGCGGCCAGCTGCCACCTCATCAGTCACGGCCTTGTGGAAGGCACGCACAGCCTCCCAGCCATGGGCACCCAGGTGCTCAAAGACCTCGAAGCACAGCAGGTGACGCATCTTGCGCTCCTCGGCCGGCAGGTCGCACTCCAGGAGCTGGAAGTAGCCCAGCATGAAGAGGTCCAGTGGGAGGCTACTGTAGGGCACAGGAGCCCCATTCACGTGGGGCAGGAACTGCTCAGGGGACAGGGGACTGCGGGGCCGCCGGCTCAGCCGCCGTAGCTGCCGGGCCGGCACGTGGGCCATGATGGCCTTCCAGTTGCCCAGCAGCTGGGTGATGATGCTCCGCTGCGGCCACAGGTGGCCGAGCCGGGGGTCCTCACTGGGCAGCAGGGAGGGCGCCCGAGGGCTCCTGGCCACCTCCTGTCCCCGTGGCCCAGCTTTGCGGGCCTCCAGGGTCCTGCAGGCCGCCGTCTTGAGGGCAGGTGTATAGGCTGACTTCTTCCAGTGGCTGAGGAACAGCATGACGATGCGCTCCTTGCGCAGGCTGGCTGAGTCCAGGCTGGGCACGGCACCCGCCTCCGAGGGGGCCTCCTCACAGCTGATGCCTGAGTCACTGGCCTCCTCTGTGTCACCTGGCCCAGGCCCCCCTCCTGTTGTGCTGGCTCGGGGCTGCAGGGGAGCCGGGCAGCAGCCTCTCAGGCACTGCCCAGGCTGGGCGGCCAGTTCACAAGGGCTCAGGTCTGAGGCACAGGGCTGTCCAGGGGCCAACTCAAAGTTGCCACGCAGCACTCGCACAGACACCCCGAATTCCTGGATCTCACGCTGGGCCTCGCTGCGAGGGGGCCTGACTGCGGCACCCCCGCGGGGATCCTGCAGGGCCTGGGTGGCCGACTCCTCGCTCTGCACCAGCCCGTTCACACCCTTCAGCAGCAGGGACATGCTGCGCACCAGGCGGCTGATGTGGCTACACCAGAAGGGCAGAGGCTGCCCGCCAGGCACGGCCTCCCCAGTCTCTGCGGAGTCCGTGGGCTCAGCCACCAGGGCCAGGGCCTGATCTTCCTCCAGCCCAGGCGCCCGGGGCAGGAAGTGGCTGTTGACGGTGATGCTGACCAGGGGCTCAGGCAGCAGGGCCTGCAACTCCGCAGCCAGTCGGCCCAGCTCGCTCTCGTACTCCTGGCAGCGGCGCCGGAGCTGCAGGTCTTCGATCTGCTTCTCCAGGTAGACCAGGTCGTCCTCAGTCAGCAGCTCCCCAAAGGGGCCCAGGACCGCTTGGTGGGCCTGCGAGTACCGCCAGGCCGCCTGCTCCAGGAGGCCTGGGCTCCCACTGTCATCCTGGGCACAGGAAGGGGAGTTAGCAGGGCCACGGCCCATTCTGCCGCTCACTGGGGAGCAGGTTTGCTCCTGTGGGTCACAAGTTCCCTGGCATGGCCCAGTTCCCAGCCCCCCTACAGACCCAGTCCAGCCCCTGGCCCTTATCTGACCTCAGAAAGTAAGCCAGGTGCTGGTTAGCACAGTTTGGGGTGCAGCTGGAGGGCACAGGTCCCCCCCACAGTTGGAGGTGCCCCTGCTCTGCGCCCTTCGGGGTCCTCCTAGTCTCTCCCACATCACCATGGTTCATGCTGCAGCTCCCCAGACCCTTCCCAACAAACCCAGGAGCCTTCTGTATGTGGACGGCAGACAGGGCAGAGCAGGACGGGTGGCTGCAGTCTTCTGCTCTGTCCCCTCCTCATCCACTATCCTGAGTACTGTCCAGCCCACAAGGACCTGTGCAGGGACTCCTAGCCTTCAGTCAGGCTGGGACTAAGCCCCCAGCCCCTTCAGCCCACCCACCCTCCATTTCCCTGAGTTCTCTGCTCTGTGGAGCCCCTGGGGCCCAGCCCGGGGCCAGGACTTGGATGGGCTTCCTGGCTGTGGTGGAAGGCCCCTGCCCCTGGCCACCTTGCTCTGCCCTGCACCCTGACAGGCTAGGATGGGCTGGGCCTTAGACTCCACTCTCCTGGGCTCTGGAGCCTGCACCTGTGGCAGGAGTGAAATGAGGGGTGCAACTCGGGGCAGGGCGTTTACGAATTTAGCCGCAAATGGCTGCTGCTTTGAAGGACAGTGCAGCCCGAGCCCCCAGACAGTGTTCAGACAAAACTGTGGACTCAGCAAGACCCCAGAACCACTGTCGGGGAGCCTGTAAAGATCCGGGGAGATCACAGCCCTCTGCGCCGACTCTCAGCAGGGCCCCAAACACCTTCCCAGGCCTGTAACATCTGCCCCTTGAGCCTCAACTCCACTGCCTCTCCGTCCCTCCGGGTGGACTAGCAGCGCCCCAGCCTCCCGCTGCTCCTCCCCTGAGCCAGTCTTTCCCACCCAGGGCTTCACTCTGGCTCCCATCGCCTAGAATGCAGAATGCGCTTGACCCAGGTTCCCTCAGCGCCCTCCCAGCCCCTGCTCAAGGTCACCTTCCCCGAGAGGACACCCACAGGTAGAGCTCCCCTTGCAGGGCTTGACTCTTTGGTGGGGGAATCACCTCATCCCTGCCACCGCGTGCACCTGCCCTGTGACCTCCCTGAGAGTCCAGGCGGCAAGGAGGGGGCAGGGCTTGCAGGACAGGACAGGGCGGGCACTAAGTCAAATGGGAGAGCAGGAAGCACAGCCTGCCCCTGCTCTGCGTCCTCCGCCTGGAGCTGACTCTGAAGAGGAAGCTGAGTCCCAGACAGTTTGGAGGGGACACCCTGGTCTCGGCCTCCACATCTGGACAGGGAGCCCGCCCTCCCCGTGCACTGGCCCCTCCCTGCCCCTTGGCGCGCACCTGGGCCTCGCGAGCACGGTCTGCGCCCAGGCGCGCCTGCAGCTTCCGCACCATCACCTGCCGCTTCCACTCGGGGATGGGCCGGCCGCGCTCGTCCCGCGTGGGCACCAGCCCGTCCAGGTCTCCTGATGGCACACCATCCAGCTGCAGCGCAGCCAGGCCATCGGGGGAGTCACCCACTGCCGACTCCGCTCCCTGTGCAGACAGGAGGGTGCAGTCACGGTCACACAGGCCCTAAGGTGACCCTGAGTAAGGGGACAGGACTGTGGACACACCCAGCTTGCCCACCCAGGCACCCCTGGAGGACAGGCAGTGGGGGCCTCCGGCCATACCAGCATCCCACTCCCAGGACAGGAACCCCGGCAGTACAGGAGGGTCTGCTGGCCGCCAGCAGCTACCAGGGCCCCCCACCTCTGCAATGGCAGAGAGAAGGTTGCCCAGAGCAGGCTGTGGGGTGGCGGGGGCAACAGCTGAAGCCCACACTGCAGAACCTGCCTCATGTGCTGCAAGGGCTCTAGTGCTCAAGCCCAGCACAGGGGAGCATCCCCAGTCCCACCAGGACCTGTTGGGACCCCGAGGGCCCAGGAAAGAGCAGCAGGGAAGGGGAGCTGGCCCAGGCCCTGAGGAGGGGCAGGTGCCAGGCTGCTGCTCTGTGCTGTGGTCGCAGCTTCCAAAGAGGGCACAGGCATCTGTGAGTTCAAAGATCAGGTTGAGGGGCCTGGGCTACAGGACTCTAGGATGACAGCCAAGGGTCCCTATGCTTTGTACGTTGAGGAGGCAAGTCACTGCCACCCTGAAATTCCCCTCTCCTCAGAATTCAGTGCGCCCATAGCCAGCCAGAGTTGCACCTGGTGGCAGGTTGGGCATCTGCTCTTGGAGGAGCAGCCTGGCCACTCTGGGAGGACAGTGAGGTGGCTTGGGTTGGCTGGGGGCCTTGGGAGATGAGGATGCTGGGGGGAGGGACGCACCTCAGGAGCAGCCAGGGCACTGGTGGTGATCTGTGGGAGGACTGTGCGGGCCATCTGCTCACTGGGGACAGGCTGATTGTGCTGGCCAGGCCAGGAAGGGCTGAGAGTCGCTGCTGCTGAGAAGGGAACAGAAAGGGCAGGGGCACAGGGAGTGGAGAGAAGCTCAGAGCCCCTGGACCTAGGGACAGGGCTAGCCCCTGAGGGAGAAATGTGCTTGGAGCCAAGGACACCACCAGTCCTGCCCAAAATGCCCCTTGGTCCTGGGCACACTGGTCAACACCGCTGGACTCCTCACTGGGACATCAATGGAGCATGATGCATGGAGGCCCAACAACCTAATGCAACCCGGCCAGACCCCAGAGCTGCCCGCTTACTGTCCCCAGTGCCCCGCCCCACTACACACACATACCAGTGCCCCAGCCCAGGGTAAGAAACACCTCTGCATGGTGGCCTAAGCAGACACACACACACACGCACACGCACACACACACACGCACATGCACACGCAGACACACACGCATGCAACAGCTCCCATGCCCTCGAGGTCCTGAGGCAAGGTCACAGGCCCCTCTACACTCAGGCCTGGTGGGTCCTGAGGTGTGTACTCACCTGTGTGGCTCCTGAGCCCCGAGCCACCTCTACTTCTGTCCTCCAAGGAGAGCCTTGCAGCTGACAGTGGAGGAGGTGGGAATGGAGGTGGCGGGGGTGTCATCAGGACTGGCACCTGGGGGTGGACAGGCCTGGTCAGTGGAGGCTCAGGTGGGCCTTGACTTGCACTCACCCAGATCTGCCAGGCAGGAATGAGGCATCCAGTGGGCAGCCCTGGGCCCTCCTGGAGCCTATGCATCCCAGAGAAGTGTTAAGGGAGCGTGCAGGAGGGAGGGCCAGGAGCCGCCCACCGCTCTCTACCTGCTCTGTGCCAGGTGACCACCCTCCCCAAACACCCTGAGCTCTGTCTGGGAGCTGGAGTTCACTGTGCCCTCCACCTTGACTGTCCCCCACACCACCTCCACTGAGTGACCTTGCATCTCAAGGCCCGGCTCAGAGGCTCCGCCTAGAGCAGCTTACCTTGGGGTTAGGGCACTGGGTCAGGGCTTGGGTCCAGGAGCACACACACACACACACACACACATCCCTGTCTGGACCTACCTGAGACCCGCCTGGACCCTATCGACCGGTCTGTTGGTGTCTCAGGTGGGAGGCTTGGTCAGAGCTGGCAAGGGCTCGGGGAGGGCAGTGGGCCAGGAGGAGTCTCTGCTGTGCCCATCAGTCCATTTCTAGGCAAAGACTGGTTCTTGGAGCACAGGTTATGCTGCAGGGTGGCCAGCAGAGCCTGACTCCAACCCCAATTTTTGGCCCTGGGCCCAGCTGCCCTCTCAAGGAGACTAGCCTGGGGGCGACCCTGCCTCCCGTGTCCTCCCAGGACCTCCAGCTAGGCTTTGCAGCCCGTTGGTTTAAAGCTGAGAGTCGAAGACTGGCGTGGTCTTGGCGCCATAGTGGGCCCAGTTCTAGCCCTTAGTCACAGGCCATCCAGGACCTTAGTTCACAAGTCATGGGGAAGGGGACGAAGCCTGAGACCCCATCTGCCCAGCCCCCACGCACCTTGCTCTCTCCAGGAATTTGTGCAGGGAGCCCAGGAGCCTCCACACGTGTGGCTGGGGAGAGTCTGCCAAGCCCCGGCCTGGGAGCACCTTAGAAGGAGGAGCTGGGCTGTGAGGCCCAGGAAGCTGTAGCCACCCTGGGCTCTCAGGGGCTGGTGCAGCCACTGCCCCCAGGAGTGGGAGGTGGCACATGAATATTTGAAAGCCGAGGTGTCAGGTGGCCAGGAGGGCTGGGGCTGGGTGGGGATCTCTTACCAGAGGGCCTTAACCCTCCAAATGGCAGGGGCTGGGGAATGGACCCTCTGGGGAAATGGGAGGCAACACTGAAATCCTTGAGCCCATGAGAAGAGAGACCACCCAAGGTCCCACAGCTGGGACACAGCAGAGGGTCAAGTTTTCCTGGAGAGCCCAGCCTTTGCTCCTGCAGGCCCAGAGCTCCCTGGGTGTGGAAGTTCCGGCCGTGGAGGAAGAGGCGGGGGCCAGCTCTGGGGAGAGTGGCATTAGGGCCTATGCAAAGCCCTGGCTGCCCTCCTCTGCACCTCTCAGGCTGTTTGCAGGGAGCAACCCAGAGGGACAGGGGCAGGTTGCTCATTGCTCACTCTAACATGGTGGGGGGCAGGTTGCTCATTGCTCGCTCTAACATGGTGGAGGGGGCGGGGTCCTGGACACAGCATCCTCAGCTGAGACTCAAGCGCATTGTGGCACAGCAGGTTGCTTCCTCTGGGGCCTGGAGGGGCCAGGGGACCCTGCTGTCAGCGGGAAGGCAAGAAAGCACCTCCCTACCTCACCCACAGAAGAGCGAGGGTTCAGCTGGGCTGGCAGCAGCCCCTCATGCTGGAAGATGGAGAGACTGGACTGGACGTTGGCCTGACAGGGGCATTGCCTGGCTCCAGTGCATTCCCTACAGCCTGGGGACCTTGGGTTCCTTGGGCTGAGCCCTACTGCACTCCTTACCACCCAGAAGCCCTGGGAAGACACTCAGGGCCTCGTGTCACCTGTGAGTCCGCCACTGGAAGGAGAGGAACTCGGGTGCTTCTGGCAGGGTCCTGGCCCATTGGCCTTCCTGCGTCCTATCAGTCCTCTGAATGTCAGCTGAGACAAAGTCAGTTGTGGTGTCCCCAGGTGATGAGAGTCACCACACCTCTCTTTTAAGGCCCTGACACTGAGAAAATCCAAAAGGATTGGAAGGAGGGAAAAGGTCAGTGTCCCGTCCTTTGGGGTCCTGAGAGTTGGGCACATGCTGCCCCTGAGTCCCAGCATTGAACCTTGTCCCCAAGGTTGGGGTCACCCTGGCCCCAGGCCCTGCACCTCTCTCCTGGGTTTCTGGTGAGGATTGAGCGCTGCTGAGCTGGCCATGCATTATACATGGAGGCAGTGTGGTGAGCTGGGTTACAGGCTTGTAACGCCACCCAGGCTGAGAAAATCATGACCTGCAGATGGGCGCTGGACACCGATCGCCACAGCCGAGATTCGATTACTGGCCAGGCATCCAGGCCCCACTGTTTCCTGGACAAAACGCTGCCCAGAGGAGTCTCTCCCTCCCTGGGCCTCAGTCTTCCCGTCTGTGAAATGAAGGGGTTCTGGGCCTTCTGACCTGGGCAGGTCGGCCTGTGCCAAGGTGACCTCAGCAGAGATGAGCACCACCTCTGTCCTCCAACAAGCCTTGAGCCCTGGTACACGGCGAGGAACTGGAGGCTCAGAGCCACTCAGACTCTGGAGTGGCCATGCCCAGGAAGAGCTGCTCCAGCCGTGAGGGGAGTGAGACAGGGAGAGAGTAGGCTGGCCTGGCCCACCTGGACGCTGGGCTCTGCCTCCAGCTCGTGGAGGGCCACACTCGCTGACCAGGTTGTTCCTGACCGCAGCTCCAGGAAGGAACGACCCTCCGGCTCCCACGGCCAGGCTGCCCAACTGAGGGGATGGGGACGGGGAGCAGGGATGTGCCGCCAAGGCTCCCCAGCCTCTGCCCATCCAGGTGAGTGAGATCAACCCTCCTGTGCAGAGGGGCTTCTGAGTGCCACGTGCCAGCCTCGCACTGGGCAGCAGGTCCTGAAGGGGGTGTCTGCCATGGGGCAGGTCTCACCACTGACAGGCAGCCTTGCCCAAGCTGCCCGTCTGGGACTGTGAGTCCCCTGGGAGGAAGGCTGGGGCTGTCCCTCAGGGGAAAATGAAGGATTTCACCACCTGTTCCTGGCCAGCGGGACAGCGGGCAGGCTACCTCTGCATATCGCATTTCCATCAATATTGCATCAGGCGCAGCTCTCGCCCCACAGCTGCCGGCCTGCCCCCCAGTGAGCAGAGATGGCGCTGCCAAGGTGAAGTGGGAGCCCTGGGGATGGTCCCTGCCGGCAGCAGAGCCTGGCACCCTCTGCTGTCGCCACCACTCTCCAAGGGAGAGGACGGGGATGGAGCTTGAGTCCTGATCCTGAGCTCCCAGACACTCTGGTTACACACCAGAGACCCCCAAGGCCACGGGTCTTGGAGTGCAGGAGCCAGGCAGGTGTGGGCAGGACGAGGCTGCAGGTGGACATGCCGGACACGGCAATGTCCTCCAACTCCATGATGGGGACATGCAGGGGGCTCAGGGGCTCTGGGTGCTGTTGCTGCCTTGAATCCCATAGTACAGCCAGGACCAGAAGAAACCCCTAGGAAACCTGAGAGGGACTGAGCTCCACCGGCCCAGGTGTCAGGAGAGCAGGCAGGACCCCTCCCCTGAGCAGTGGGGCAGGGGGTCTAGGAAGGGTGGCCAGTGTGACAAGGGGCCTAGGGGTGGAAGGCTGAGACCTTGCTTGGACAGAGATCTCAGGCCATGGGCTCCACAGTGTGGCAGGGGTGGGGACAGGGGCAGGAAGCCCGGAGGCCAGGCAGGGCCTGCCCTTTACAGCAGATGCTGTGCAGGGTGGGGGGCACCAGCGGTGTGGCTGCCCTCCCCACCTCCTACCTCTACTGCCGTCCAGGTAGGGCTGGGGGGCAGAGCCCAGGGAGGGTGCAGAAGCCAGGACAGACCACCATGGGCCTGTGAACATGCAGCCCTGACCACGCCCGAGACCAGCTGAGCTCCCGACTCTCCACCCATGCCAGAAAGAGGACCCTCCTCTAAACAACAGCCAGTGAGACACTTAGCCCCCAAATTATCTCATCAGTACCTGAATTCTCGACTCTGAAACTACTACCTCGGGAAAAACCAGGGCAGGCAAGCCCTGCAGCCTGTCCCAGCTGCCCTGAGGGTGGCAGGCAGGGCAGGGTTCAGGCGGTGGCCACGTGAGGACCGCCTGGCAGGCCTGGAGGCTGGGAGGACACTGCCACGGTTGGGCCTGAATGCTCGGAGGTGATGCCCTCAAGGGAGGAGGAGGCACTAAAACCTCTTGATGAGACCCCAGTTAGGGGACCTCAATGCCCTCCTCTGACAGTGGGGTCAGGTGACCCTAGGGCATCTTCATGGAGGGAGCGCTGGCCACAACAGAAAACTGGCCAGCTGGGACTCGGTCATCATAGTGTCTGCCCTAGGCCTGGACAGGGAGGTGCCGGGGAAGAGCCCGCAGCTCCGTGCTCTCGGGTCCCTGGTCCTCCTCAGCCCAGCCCTCGCCACTGCCTGCCGGCCTGTCTGCGACCGGGGGACCCACTTATCAGCCCCTCTGCTCCTCTGCCCTGTCATGGGCTGGGGCCGGGCTCAGCAGGACAACAAGGTCCCTGTCCTTGTGAACGGGAAAACTGGCTCTGGAAGGTGGGGAGATGGAGCGTCACACATGAGCAGGCACTGGGATGGGACATGCTGCTTCTGGGCTGCTTCAGGGCCACCTTGGCCAGGACTTGGGCCCTGGTCCCACCCTGGGTGTCCTCAGGCTGACAGAACATCCCCCGAGCAGAGCCCAGCCAGGAGGCCCCACCTCACAGGCGTGGTTTCTGTGGCTCCCAGGGAAGGCACAGCTGGCTGAGTTCCAGCCCTCACCGAAGCCTGGGTGCTGTCACAGTCCCTGTCCCAGCTGGCTGTGTCTTGTACCAGCCCTGTCCTGACAAAACCATGGGCTATGAGGTATGTGCAGTGAGATCCAGGTAGGTAACCGGGGTCCCACCCCCCAGGCCTCCAGGACAGATCCCCAAGGACTTACTGGCCGGGCCATCTCCCGCAAGTACTGGGCGCAGTCCTGGTGTCCATGGTACTCCGCGAGGTCTGCCGCCGTGTACCCGTCTTCATCCCGCAGGGAGGGGTCCGCGCGGTGGGAGAGCAGGGTCTGGCAGCACTGAAGGAAATGGGGCACCTTGGCTGGCACAGCTCCCGGGGCCAGCTCACCGGCTCGACGCACAGCCACCGCGGGGGGAGCTCTGAGCCTCGCCCCACAGCTGCCCTGGCCTGAGCTAAGTGCTGGGGCCCACAGAGGACAGAGGCCTGGGCTGCAGGCAGCAGTTGCCCCTGCCAGGGCAAGAGAGGAATCTAAGGTGCACAGGCCGCTCTTCTGGGGCACAGCTGTGAGCAGGCCAAGCTGGACTCAAGCCAGGTGGCCAGCCCAAATGCAGCCCAAAGCTACTGTGCCCCAGGCTGAGATGCAGATGGGGTCTCATTTTTTCAACCAACCCTCAGAGGTGTGTCCCATTTATACATACTGGGGCTCAGGAGCTTAGAACCGGCCACCTGGAACTCAGGGCCTTCATCTCAGCTAGCTCCTTTCTGGAGGTGAGGGAGGTGCCTTCCCCAGGTGGCCTTGCACTTTCCAGAGCCCTTGCCCAGCCCCAGGCCCTGGGCAGCTCCTCCAGTGCCAATCTTGACCCTCAGGCTCTGAGCAGGGCTCAGGCCTGAACCAAGGCCATGCTACCTCACCCAGCCAGCCCAGGGGCCTGGGCCTGCATCCCCTGGGGCCCCCACTGGAGGAAAGCAGGAGAGGTTTGAAGGAGCAGAAGGCTATAGGAAACTTGGGCTTATGAAGGACTCAGATGGGAGCCTCAAGAAATAGTTGGCATTTATTCTGTCCATATGAATTCTGCAAGTATTTGTCCTCTTTGTGTGTGGAAGAAATATAGAATGTCACTTGAACTGATTGACGTTTTTGGTTTCCTACACTGTGTGCCCTTGACCTACAGTCTGCTTTATGACTACCCCATCAGGGCCTCATCTTCCTTCGTTCATCTTAAACTGGATTGGACTAAAAAGGCAAAATCCCAAAGGAACCGCTCCTCTGGGGACTGCAGCGGGTCCCCGTGAGCTGCGATGGAGGGTAGGCCTTGGGTGCACCATGCTGGGAATAAATGCTGACCTAGGTGGGCATGAAGAGGTGCCTGGCAGAAGGGCCAGTGGAACTTGACCTCGTCCTGGCTCTACCACTTGCTGGTCAGTGAAAACGGACACAATACTGGGCCTCTGAACACCACCAGCCTCCCTGGCCCCACTGTGCCAATGGCAGCCGGCCAGCAGCTGAGGGCCACTGTGGCCCCAGGGAGAAAGCCTGCTCCCCAAGACCCGTTAGCCGAGCCAGCCCAGAAGCCATGAGGTGGCCAGTGTGCCGGCAGAGGAGGACAGGCAGGGTGGGAAGAGCTGGGCCCAGTGGCCCTGCCTGTCCACAAGAGCAACGCAGGCACCGGCACCTCTGCAGATTCCCAGGCGCAAGAGCAGTGGATGCCGTGTGGAGGCCCTGAGTCGGGCTCTGGTCCCGCTGCGGGGTACACTCCTCCATGACAGCTGTACTCCTCAGGGCTGTGCAGCCTCCCCCTGACTCCGGCAGGACTTCTCCATTCTCATTGTGGGGCAAAGGTGACCTCAGCTGACAGCCAACGTGTGACCATGCCCGTGGACCTTTACTAGTGACTGCTGAGATGGTGACTGCGTGTAACTCTCATGTATCACGAGACGTTCTTCGTCTGTCCCCAGCCATTTAAAAACACGAGAGCCCATTTGTTAGCTTGTGGACCATAGGAAATCAGGCAGTGGGCCAGGATTGGTCAGTAGGTGTGGTCTGTCTGTCCCCAGCCTGCAGGGTTGCTAGGGCAGGGATGAGAGGATGTCCTGAAGGCTCTCTGGCCTGTGGCCTGATGTGGCCAAGGGGACAGGAATGGAAAGCTGGCTAACTGATACAACAAGGCCCAACATGCACGTAGTGCCAATCCCAGGAGAGGAGAGACCGTGGGCAGAGGCGATAGCTGAGAGAGAATGGCTGATAACTACAGAGCAGGGCACACACCAGAGCACAAATTCAAGAATTCCAAAAACCTAAAGTGGGATAACAAAGGGCAATCCCTCTCCAGACCTCTTCCACTGAAACTGAGGAAACCCCACAGGAGAAGAGAAATGGTGACCTCAGGAGGGAGACGGCTGGCGGCAGCCTCGGCACAGTGCTGGACCTGGGAGGCAGGCGTGGTGTGACAGGCACGAGAGGAAGCGACGGGAAATCACCCACTACCACCTGCACTCAGCACAGAGGCTCCTCGGTACTGGAGGTGAAAGAAAGATATTTTGAGGCAAACCAGAAGAAAGAAAGCAAATAGTTGTTGAGAAGGCTGAGCGGAAGAGCTTCCGTGGGCAAAGCCTGCAAGAAGGAAGAGGGAAGTAGTGAATTTGCAGAAAACTTAGACAAAGTGTTGTATTCATTGACTGAATAAAGACGATAATGCCTACAGGATTTTAAAAGCTGTAGACATAAGACCCATCAAGAACGGCCTCCCACACCTGTTAGACCTCCTGTCATCCTGCCCTCTCCCTCCTGCCCTCCCACCCGGCCCTTGGCCTTGTTGTGGAAAGCCAAAGGCCTCTGGCGGGCATCTGGAGCTGCTGGGACCAGTGTGTCCACATCTGGAACAAGTTTTCCATGCTGAGAAACGAGACCTTCCCACGAGATCTGCCGTCACCTGGTTCCATGGTCCATGGGAGAGACCTGTCTGATCCTCACGTCACTCTGGGAGTCTATTATTGTACAATTTCGTACCAGATGATAAAGATGTGTAAAGAAGGTCCCAAGGTCACAATGCCAGGCAATGGTGCAGCTCCCACCTCCTGGGGCTCCCAGGAGCCGTGTTTTCCAAGGCACCCTGGACAGAGAGGAGCCACAGACCCATGGAGGTGAGTCGGGGCAGGGCCCTCAGCCCCACCTGCACACCACCATTTCCACACCTGTGTACCATTCCAACACGGATTCCACAGGAGGTCGCATCTACCTGTGCACACAATTTTAAAATAATTACAGTTCTACCCTGAGAACAAAGATGGCTGCGTCAGGATCAGCTGGGAAAGAGAAATGGTCAGACAGGTGGACCCTGGGCATCCTGTTCAGCTCCATCCACTGCCTCTGAGCCACCAACTCTGTAGGTTGTAGAGACCAAAGCCCTGCACAAGGCTCCTGCCCACTGGAAGGCAAGAGAAAAAGCGTGGAGGGCCACCATGAGGTGTCCCATGGCCGCCTGTGCACAGGGGCCCATGCTGCCTCCAGTCAGCCCTCCTCTCAGCACACGGCTCAGCCACTTCGGACCACGGGTTCCTCGTTAGCTGATGAGTCCAGTAGCAATCTTTGCCACCATCTCATTTTGTAGTTGGAAGGAGTCACTATTTCCAACACTTTGGACGTCACTCTTTGACATTCTGACTTGCAGAATTGCTGCTGGCGCAACAGACAGGGAACTGTTGGAGACTCAGGCAGCAGGCTGGCACCACCGTGGCTGACGTCACTTTCAGGGGGCAGAGAGAAACAAAATACCATTTTCTCTCAATATTTACTTGGGAGAGGCTACGGTATCTCACACCTACCTGGGAGGACACACTGGGGTGTGTGTTAGGTTCTAAACTTAGGAGATTAAATGTATTTGAAGTAGGTTTTGCACTCAGCTCAGATGATTAAAGGTAGGGTTTTTGCCCTCCCTGCTGAGCGAGCCATTAGGGACCCATGTGGGGTGAGGGAACAGTCTTCACCGGGCAGGACTGGCCTGGGAGTGCTGGTCCCTGACACTCCTGGCCACCACCACAAACCAGGAGTACACCCAGGCAATGCCATAGCCCGAGGGAACCCCCAGATTCCAAGAGCCCTGTGCATCGCCCCATGAGAACACGGATCCATGCCAGGCACTCTTGGGCCCTTGAGTCTCTGTAGGATCCTAAGCAAGTGCTCGGTGACACTGTTGGGTGCATCTGAAGGAGGGAAAGCAGGGAAGGGCCGTGGGAGTCAGGGACTCTGAGGAGGGGCTGACCCTGGGGGAACCAGAACTTCGTGGTCCTGGGAAGCTCACCATGGACAGTGGTCATGGGCCCCGAATGAGCGGTACATGCCCTTCCTTGGATTGATGGGTAGAGAGCTGCCGGCGGGTCAGAACCACACACCAAACCCGGAGGTACTGGCTCCACCTGTGTTCCCGCACTTCCACTTAAACCTTGTCCATGAAGGACCTTGGGGGACCATGCCCTGTCCCATAGCAGCTTCTGGCTCTGTGGCTGGCCCCCTCGGAACAAGGTCAAAGTCACCTGCTCAGGATCCCACAGCAGCTTCTAGTGGCCTTTTTACACCACAGTCAAGCCAGTGTTGGGCTCCAAGACCTCCGCCCAGGCTCCTCTCCTGTCCCCCAGCCCCGTCTGCTCAGCCTGGCAGGCCTGGCACCCCCACCCTCTGCAGAAAGCTGTGGGCTGAGCTCGCTCCCCGCACTCACAGCTGCCTCTGTCCAGCTCTGTGAAGTCACTAGAGTCACCGAGCTAATGCTCTTCACACTCTCCAAACCCACCCTGAGAAACGACCCTGAGAAACGGCCCTGAGAAACGGCCCTGAATTGGGTGAGAACCCGTGAGGAGTCTGGCAAGTCCTTCTCAGGCTCCACCAAGGGCCCCTGCCGCCGGCTCTCTGGAGGTGGCAGAGCTCTCCTGGAGCGATCAGCTGCTCCTGGGCCTGTTGCACCCGGTGGGCTCTGGTGGACTCACTCTCCGCCCCTGAGGTGGAAGCACTGTGCTCTTCGCCACCTTCAGCTGCCTCCGGATCTCCTGGGGGGACCTTGTGTCAGCGGCGCACGACCCAGCAGGTCCTGACGGGCCTGAGATTCACTCCTGACAGGCTCAGCTGACCTCGCCCCTGTTACTGACACGTGCCTCTGAACTACAGGCACCAAGAAGGGGGAGATGGCCTTGAACTGGTTCTTGGACACATTTGGCGCTCCTTCCTGGGTATCTGGGGCCTCAGGCAAATATTTTTTACTGAGTTCTGTCTTAATACGTGATTTTATTGAAAATGTATTATAGTGCAATGAGGTACGACCTCCCAGCTACCAAGGGGCTCAATAATAA